TGTCCCAGCGCAGCTCAGGGGCCAGAGGAGCCTTCTGAGAGAGGAGGAGCCAGGGTGCGGTTGGAGGCACAAGGCGGAGGGGTGTTCATGGAAGAAGGTGGCGGCATGGGGTTCTTGCAAGAAGAAGGTGACAATGAGTGGGGGGGTCTTGCTAATTAATGGTCGGCCTTGACTTCTAGAGTAAGTGGTAGGGTGTTGGGAGAGGGGGAGGGAGGAAGACAAGGCCGGCACTGAGCCCATGGGTGTCTGGGATGAGGCAGCTTTTGGTGGCTGAAGAGGAACAAGAGGAAGATTGATGGAAATAGATAAAATTTCATGAACATATTCTACATGCCAGAAATTTTTCTAATCTTTTTACACACATTAACTCATTTCCTCCTCACAACTTTATGGTTACTTCGCAACTATGGTTACGAAGGCACTATGGTTACCTTCGTTTTATGGATGAGGAAACGGTCCCACAAATGGGTTTAAACAATCGCTCCAAGTCACACAGCTTTTGGAGCACAGAGTTGGAACTTGAACCCAGGCAAAGAGATCCAGAAGCCATGGGAGCCCCACACTTCCCTCCCACCTTCACGCTTTCTGCTCTTTGTCCTGCCTTTTATTAGTTATGTGGCCTTAGGGGAAAAGGGTCAACCTTTCAAGTTTTACTTCGGACATGTGCAAAGTAAAGTTGGTAAAACCTGAATTAGTGATTCTGTACCTGGTGCTTGCGGGGAGGGACACAAAATTAGCAGGGAAGGTGAGACAAAGACACATGGCTCGAAGAGGCTGGATGAGAAGTGCCATTTTCACAGAGGTACATCATGCTATGGAAACAAAGGAAGACGAAGAGAAATTGTTGGCGATCCAAGCAGGGTCGGCTTTCCATTTCTGAGTAGTCTGGCTGGAATTTAGAGCGGGGAGGAGGGCAGAGACACCAGTGCTGAGCAAGACCTCAACAGAGAGCTCCGGCGCGGATTCCCGGGAACAGGAGCCACTCAGGGTTAACCCTACCGAGAACCCCAGTCTCCCCCAATCCAGGCCTGCTACCTTTCTTCTGACTTTCTTTTCTTTTTTGGCAGTTTTCTAAAGAGTAGACATGGAGAGAGCAGAACGTGGGGGATAGAGCGGAAACTGTCTCCTCGGTAATGCTGCACCCTGGAGTCTGAGAAGGCATGACTTTGTAAACTGTCACTGCAGGCGCTCCTGCTAACGAAACGCAGAGTGGTAGAGTAACGTTGGCCTCAGAAGAGATGAGGTTTCGGTTATGGGCCAGATAGCTCTAGAAAAGTGTGTGTAACCTGGAGATTGATAATGTGGTAAGGCAGTGGTTCCTCTTAGAGAGAGAAGGAAACAGACAGGCCCTTCCGTCCATTCTAGCACAGAGCACCAAGTCCCCAGTGGACTCAGAGGCCACCACATCACCTGCCAGCGACGGCAGTCAGAGGACAGGTGAGCTCCACCTGGTGTCTGAAGACTCCGCTGCCCCACCTGGTGGCGTGGCAGTTGGGCGTGGAGACAAACCCTGGAGAAGGAAAAGTAAAGACATAAAAGTGCTGGGCTGACTGACTGCGTGGCACACTCCCGCACCCCCATTCCAAGAAAGTTCTCTGCGCTACAACCCCCTTGGGTGGAGAAGATGGCACCATCGCGCTACTCAGTGCACTCTGCGTGAGAGACAGACGCGAGGATGACTGCGGCAGGAGGGGCTGAGGGAGACCCGTCCCATTGTTTCTCCCCAGCAGCTGGTAAGGGCCTGAGAAATCCAAGCTCTGCAGGTTAACCTGGTCCCCACCCACCTCAAGAGGTGGCTGCAGGGGTAACAGACGGGTGGGAGGGGGAAGGCGGGGACCGGAGGGTTCAGGTGGAGTTTGCCCTGACATAATACTCCCGCAGAGCCGAGATTTAGGGGATCTTTCAGAGGTCCTGGGTTCCCATTGGACCGACAGGCCCGTTTGCCGAGCTGAAGACATTTAAAGCTCCTGTCTCTTTTCTCCTCAGAGCTCCAGCAGGTTTTCGCTCTCTCTGCATACAACATGCATACTAATTGGAGTCTCTCCCTGAGAAGAAGCCTTCTTCCTGACAGATCCTTTAAGAATAGATGTAGGTTTTGAAAAACCCAAGCTGGCATTGCCTGTAATTATAAAGTAATTGGTGTAATTGAGAGCTCAGGGTCTCATGCAAATCATCCTCCCATTTTTAACTTTACATCAAGACTATTTTTATTTTTAAATGAAAAAAAAGCGCGTGCATTTGGGTATGGCACTTGCGTATGTCTGCCAGGGCCCCTGTGTGTGCAAAATACTAGAGTAGGTGTGGTAGGGGAATTGGCCTTGGATTAAAAATCAAACCACTCCTGGTCCTTTGTGTTGGAGAAAATCCTGAGACTTCTCTCAGCCTTGGTTTTCTTCATCTATGGAACAGGGAGAATGAGAGTAACCTTACATTGTTCTGAGAATTAAATAATATAGACACATGAGCATTGTAAACTATAAAGTGCTATTCACAAGCATTAGGGTCTCCTTCTTGTTATTCCTTTTCTCTTCTTTAGGAGTTGGAGTGCGATGCAGAGGGAAGAGCCCTGCTCTGAAGTGAGAGATGCAGCCACGTTTCGGCTCTCGTACTTAGAAACCAGATACGTGACCCCTTTTTTTCTTTTGTGTATAAAGACACCAGGTGGGGGCAGATGGTTGGGTGATATGATCAGTGAGAAAGCTCGGAACAGTATCTAGCGCTGGCGAACTACATGCTTAACCAGAGATCCAGCCAGCTTTATGTTTCCTCTTCACCGCCATCCTTTTGTGAGGAGTTGTGACAGCTGCTGTGATTCCACCTGATGCAGGTAAGGATGAAGTCACCCAATATGAGACTCGCCGTAACCCTGATTAGGAGTGACATCAGTTTCCTATGTCTGCTGTAACAAATACCCATAGACTCAGTGGCTAAAAACAACAGAAATGTATTCTCTCACAGTTCTGAGGGGCAGAAATGCAAAATCCTTCAGGGCTACGCTTCCTCTGGGGACTTCCGGGGAGCATCCATATCTCGACTCTGTTCCAATCTCTGCCTTTACCTGGCCTTCTCTTTTTCTGTGTCCATGTTCTCTCTCTCTCTCTTTCTTTCTTATAAGGATGCTTGTGATGGTATAAAGGCCCACCTAGATAATCCAGGGTATTTCTCATATCTCAAGATCTTTAATTTAATTACATCTGCAAAATCCATTTTTCCAAATAATATAACATTTACTAGTTCCAGAGATTAGGACTTGATATATTTGGGGACCATTATTCAGTAGACTATGGGAGTGAAGGCTCCCTGGAGCCAGGCTGTCCAGGTTAGAACTGTAGCTTCACCACTTTCCACTGTGTGACCTTGGGTGAGTTATTCATCTCTGTGTCTCAGTTTCCTCATCTGTAACACAGAGACAATAGCACTGCCTACCTCACAGGATAGTTGTGAGGGCTGCTCATGTGAGCTCTCTTAAAATGATCACTATTGTCATGTCTAATTTTCTCTTAATGTCTGGTTATAGATTTATTGTCATAGTTTCATCTAAACTCTTCCAGAACTTGCTTACATATGGCCTGAAAAAACTTTTGGTGTAAGTTACTTTTCATTTGCTCAAGAGTCATATTTTTCATGGTTAGAAAAGTATCACTGGAAAGACATCTCATGTTCCTGGATTGGAAGACTTGTATTGTAGAGATGACAATACCACCTATACAGATCCAGTGCAATCCATAGTGGCCTCACAACGATGTTTTATGCAGAATTAGAAAAATATATCCCCCAAATCATATAGAATTTCAAAGGACCCTAAATAGTCAAAACAATCTTGGAGAAATCACATTTCCTGATTTAAAAATTTACTAATGTTTTGTTTGTATAATTTGTTTTGATAAAGTAATAAAAACAGTGTGGTACTGTCATAAAGACAGATATGTGGAACAATAGAACAGAATAGAAAGCCCAGAAATAAGCCCTCATATATATGGTCAAACAATTTTTTTATAAAGGTGCCAAGAGAATTTGTTGGGGGAAAGGACAATGTTTTCAACAAATGGTCTTGGAAAAACTGAATATCTACATGCAAAAAAATAAAATTGGACTCTTACCTTATAGCATATACAAAATTAACCCTAAATGGATTAAAGATCTACCTGTAAGACCTAAAACTATAAATCTTCTAGAAGAAAGCAAAGAAGAAAATCTTTATGACATTGGACTTGGCAATTATTTCTTGGCTATGACACTAAAAGCTCAGGCAACAAAAGAAAAAAATAGATAAATTTGACTTCATAAAAATAAAAAAAAACCTTTTGTGTATCAAAGGACACTATTAAGAGAGTGAAAAGGCAACTCACACAATGGGAGAAAACATTTGCTAATCGTACATCTGATAAGGAATTAATATCCAGAATACATAAAGAATTTGTACAACTCAGAAATGAAAAAAACAAAAAACCCAATTAAAAAACGGGCAAAGGATATGTATAGACATTGATTCAAGAAACATGCACAGATAACCGATAAGCACATGAACAGACACTCAACATTACTAGTTATTAGGGAAGTGCAATTGAAAGCCAAAAAGAGATGCCACTTCACACCCATCAGGATGGCTGCTATTAACAACCACCACCAAAGATAAACAACAAAAATAAATATCAAAAAAATTGTAGCCCTTGTACATTGCTGATGGAAATGTCGAATAGTTCAGCCACTGTGGAAAACAGTAAAATATAGAATATGGAATTATTGTTTAATGGATACAGAGTTTCAGTTTGGGATGTTGATAAATTCTGGAGATGGATGGTAGTGATGGTTGCATAACAAGGTGAACAGACTCAATGCCACTGAATTGTATACTTAAAAGTGGTTAAAATAGTACATTTTATGCCATACTTAAAAAAATACAATAAAAAAATCAAAAGTAGCTCTTCAACCCCTTTTGTTCCCTGTGGAACCGTGAAACAAGAGGCACATGGTGAGACCTGATGGGATATCACCGCATAATGCATGTCACAGACCATAGGAACTTTGAACCCACACCTGTGATTTTGCAAGGTATTGGTTTGGAAGAGGTATGACTCAGGGTTTTTTTGTTACTTTTAAATAGAATTTATTTTTATTAAGTTATTATGTATTGATGGCTTTTTTAAAGAATTAATTAACTATATTGACAAATACCAATTGTGTATACTTATGGGGTCAGAGGAGATTGTAGGGTTGATGACAGAGCTGCTGACCTGTGAGTGGGGAGATGTGTTTGAAGACCCTGCAGAAATGAGAGCTCTTGAACGTAGCCTGCATTTGCGCCCCCCCCCCTTAGCATTCACAAAACAGTCAATATGTAATTGATAAGTCTCTTATGGGTGCTGGGCACGGTACTAGGGCAAAGATAAATTCCTTCAAAGAGCCTCCAGGCTTGTCTGGGAGATGAGGCACAAATATCTAAATAAAGGAGACGATCAATAGTTCAAGACAACAATAGCTGAGCTAGCACAGGTAGTTTATGATGAACTGTCAAAGCAATTGAGGAGACACTAATTGCTCGAAATGCTCACAGTGAGCTTGATCACTTGAGGTGGCGGCTGTTCAGAGACAGCATTGCCTGGCGGTCACTGAAGTCTATGGGTGGAGAGGCCCAGAGCTGGGCTTTTGCCCAAGCATGGCTGATTTTTGTTGAGTGGGGACCAGCTTCTTTACCACTTTAGGAAAGTGAATCAATATTATCCCGTATGCTTTATACACTGACTTTTGCATTTATTTCTCTGAAATTGTGAGTGTCCTATGTTATGATTGTCTGAAATTATAATCTTACTTTTCTAATTTAGATCTATTTAGGCAATTAATCTGTGTAATAAATGCCACTGATAAATAATAGTTTTATTTCATTTTTCTCAATGAAAACAGATTTACCTGTTGACTGAGGACCAGCTTCTTTACCGCTTTAGGCCTCTGTGTTCTCACCTGTAAAGGGGACAATGTTATTTGCCCCCACGGGTTGTTGCGAGAGTGCAGTGAAGTAAGTCCCAGGCCCATTTAGTTCATATTCACTGTTATGTAGGGGAGGAGGCCCTGGGGTTGGGCCTTGAAGGTTTCTGGGAATGAATGACAATGAGAAAGGTGGCTGAGTGTATTTGGAAGCAGAATTAACAAGTGTGGCTGGAGTATGAGTCTGCTTTCTCCCAATTTTTCTTTCCTGCAGAGAGAAGGGTAGAATTCTGGTATGCCAGCCAAAGGACTGATAAGGAAATGTGAGTCTGGCAGTCTTAAAAAGATCAGCTCTGATGTGGGAGGAGGGCCAAGGCTGTGGGCATATGCTCACTATCTTTTCTGGGGTCCTGTCCCCCTTTGGCCAATACTGTCTGGGTCACCCAGGACTCTACCTTTAACATTCAGTCTGGATGCCAATCTAGAGATTGGCTAAAGGAGCCAGCATCCCACATTTGTGTGTAATACACCATCCTTGCAAAGTACTTTTCAATCATTTATTAGTTCATCAGAAATTTAATGAGAAGTGGGGAACATAATTTCTGCCTCATAGAATGAGAAGGGATTGTTTGCAGAATATTTATGATCTTCAAATGGTGCAATACATGCAATAATGTTACCTTGCAATAATGAACTTTTATTATTCAATAGATATCAGAGGTTACCCTATGGGAAAATGGTAAATGACTAAAACTTAATTTTAAAGGGAGGAAAATGAATCAATATTATCCCATATGCTTTATACACTGACTTTTGCATTTATTTCTCTGAAATTGTGAGTGTCCTATGTTATGATTATCTGAAATTATAATCTTACTTTTCTAATTTAGATCTATTTAGGCAATTAATCTGTGTAATAAATGTCACCGATAAATAATAGTTTTATTTCAGTTTTCTCAATGAAAACAGATTTACCTGCTGTCTTAGTCCATTTTCTGTTGCTCATAACAGAATATCTGAAACTGGGTAATTTATACAGAAATTATATAGAAAAGGAATTTATACAGAAAAGGAATTTATTTCTTAACAGTTATGAAGGCTGAGAAGTCCAAGGTCAAGGGGCCGCATCTGGTGAGGGCTTTCTTGCTGGTGGGGACTCTCTGTAGAGTTCCAAGGCGGTGCAGGACATCACATGGTGGGGAGGCTGAGCGTGCTAACGTGCTAGCTCAGGTCTCTCTTCCTCTTCTTATAAAGCCACCAGTCCCACTCCCATGATAACCCATTAATCCAGTAATCCATGAATGAATTTATTCATTCACGAGGGCAGAACCCTCATAACCCAATCACATCTTAGAAGGCTCCACCTCCCAATATCGTCCAATATTGGAGATTAAGTTTCAACATGAGTTTTGAAGGGGCAAATATTCAAATCATCGCACCTGCTCAATGAGATCAAGAATTTGATGATCATTCTTCAGAAGTTTCTTTCTTTTTTTTTTTTTTCCTTTTCTTCAGATCCCTTTCAAGACACTATTCTGTGATGGTACAATTCTTGTCTGAGGGAGGGAGCAAAGGACCCTCCTCATCCTCACGGCTTGGATCAGACAGAGGGAACCATGCTGCCAATGCTACTCCGTGGGAACTGTGGGGGCACATTCCAGTCCCTGCCCTGTGCCTTGTCTGCTTCTTTCTCTCCAGTTTTTATTCTCCATTTTTCTAGCCTCCTTTCTAACCTCTTGTTTGCTCTTTTTCTTCCTGAACTATGTCTTCAGCTTTTCAGGGACACAAGTGCCATGTTGTACTATGCTGGCTTAGCAACACAAAGGGCTATAGAGGTGCTCACCTCAGGACTGGCATGTGTTCCTGGGCCTTCTCCCTCTACTTCCTTCACTCCCAGATTCTCTGCTGCAGGCTGAGTTGCACCACCTACAGCCAAAGAAACTCTCTAATGCCTCATTCATTCATTATTCAACAGATATTTGAGTACCTACTATGTGTCATATACTTACAATGTATAGGAATATGCATTGAATAAACAAACCTCCTGTGCTTATAGAGCTTAACTTCTCATGAGAAAACAAACAAAAACCAAGTAAACAACAGGTGATGTGTAGGCTTCTTGAGGCTTATGAATGTTTTAAGAAAAATTAAAGCACCAAGAGTGACAGATAGGATGGCCAGAAAAGTACTTTCTGGTAAGGTTGGCATTTGAGCAGAGATCTGAATGCCATGAGGGAGACGGGCATGCAGATCTCAAGGGGACAAGCATTATAGATGGAGGGGACAGTAACCACAAATGCCTGAGGCAAGAGGCTTTTTGTGTGTTTGAGGAGAGAAAATGGTGTAGGTGGTCTTGAGAGGGGTGAGTGAGGAAGAGGATGCTGGATGTTGTGTTAGCTTTTGGATTGGCCAAGAGTTGAGCTGAAAAAGACTTCATCTTTCTTTTGACAGAGTTACGTCAACTGATGTCTTTCTATCAGCATTTCAATATTTGTCTTGGGGTAGGAAGGAGTATAGAGTGAATATCTGTTGCTTTTGCCACCTCGTATCGATTGCCTGTTCTTTGACAACTGTATCCTGCTTTCTCTCTGTGGAAACCTCCTCTTCCCTCACTGAGCCTGGGTGCTCAGAGGGGGCTAGGGCATGCCACCAAGGCCTTTTCCAATGAGCACATTGTGTTCTCTTGGCTGCTAGATGGCACCTGGGGGGGGGCACGGGGCCTGATTTGAGCCATGAGACAAAGTGAAACTTTGCTGAGATTCGCTTTCTCTCACTTACTAAATGACGTGAGAGTGCAGCATGTGGAATGGCTGTGGCCATCTTGAATCCACACAGGGCAGCCCGTCTGAGAGTGGAGCTCCCCAGAGGAGGTGCAGCCAAGATAGAGAGAAACTGAGTCCTGGCGATGTAATTTGAGGCCTTGCATCAAACCATACTTGAAACCAGTAGTATGGCTTGAATTTTCTGCCAGCCGGTAAATTCTATTATTGCTTAAGCCAGCTTGAGTGACGTGAATCTTTTTTTCTTTGGTTACTTGCAACAAGAGGAGCTGTAGCTGCGAGAGGTGATAAGAGGTGGTATAGTGTGGTGATTAAGACCAAGGACCTGGATTCAAAACCTGCTCGAGACTGTGTGCAAGGTCCCTGACATATCTGGGCATAAACTTCATCTGTAAAATAGGAATAATAATGGTATCTACCTCAGGATTGTTGTTAAAATTAATTGAATATATATAACTTTAAACACGTACATAGTAAATGCTACATAAATGCTATTTATTATTTATTTCTGTTTTGTAAAATAAGGTTTCTGAGGCTAGACTGTGTTATGAGCCTTTCACGCATCACACAGAGAGTCAGAGCAGAAATCAGACACCGGACTCCTCAAGGGTGGCTGTCGGCAGTTCTTCACCTACCTCAGAGGGCGTTTTTGATGCCTGCCATACTCCAAGCACTTGGACGTGCACAAAGACCTCAGATTCTGAGCTACAAGGGCTTATATTTGAACACTTGTGTTTCCCCCACTTCTATTACAGGGTTCTTTGCCCAGTGCATAATTAATCAGTGGTTGACTAACCTTCCCCAATGCTACTCAGCCTCCCAGGGAGGGAAGGCATTTTCTGAAGAGGGTTTTTTTGGGAAATCAGTGCTCCACGCAGCAGATGGGAGCCCCACTCTCGGGGCCAGGGCTCTCTCTCTTGGCCTGGCGGCCCCTTTGGCCTGCAGGGTAGCAGAGCCAGCAGGCAGAGGCTCGGAGCTGCCCCTCTCCCGGCTTCCCCAGGCATCTGTTTCAGCAACTTGCTCTTGGTCTCATGATAAATTCATTACCAGAAAATGAAGCTGGAGTTTCCCAGTGACATAAAATATTGATGAGAGAAATAAAGACTAAGATAAATTATCAAATGCTACTTGCAGGCCCGGCTGCATTCTGTTCTGCCTGGTCTGCATACGTTTGTTCTTCTCTTCCCCTTTCAGCTGGGGTTCTGTCCTCTTAATGGGAAGCATATTGGAACACTAGCGAAGTGCTCCAACCCCAACGTCACACCAGAGTGGGAAAAATAGACATGTCTCCTGGTTACTGTCAAAACTATGAAACCCAATCCTGCCACTTAACAACCTTCTGGCAGGTTCTTGGCACCCTCAGGATA